CGGACCGTCGTCTCGGTGTCCTGGCCGTGTGGGAAATTGATGTTGGGGCAGAGGCGCACGTGGTCACTTCGCTTCTCTCCAGGCCGTCACAGTAGCATTGTAGATGTGCGCCCGTGCATGTCCAGTGACTTCCATGCCGTGGCCGAACAGCATTTTTGTCCCACGCATTTCATTTGGCTCTTTCACACCCAGTGTCCCCCTGGGTTGGGCGTTGTTTGTACAAGGGTGATTCAAGAGGGGCGGGTCTCGGTCTTGCACGTCAGAAGGTCTCCACCCATGGACGTTGGCATCAGCATTCGCGGATTTCATGTAACTTGTACACGTTCCTGTTGGCTGTTTGACGGCTTCTCGAGTTGCCTGTTTCAAAGGCTCTGAGGATGACGCCGGCCGCCTCTGTCGTGCTGCGCAGAATGAAGAGGGGGCTCCCTCGTTGGCGATCCGGGGGGGTGATATCAGAGCGAGGGTTGCATGGGGGCGATGGCGTGTGGTGCCCTTTGATCAGGAAAATGGGGTCGGTTTGTCAATTTTTGGATAATGTAATCAACAAGGCGAGTTCACTGTCGTGGAGGAGCCATGTCCGGGAGGGGAGCTTCGTGTGCAAGGCGCCCCTGATTGCCCCAAAGCTGCGCCAGTACCCAGTTCTCCTTCTCCTGTCCGTGCACATACTCAACGAATTGTTGGGATTTGAACAGTTTGCACGAGTTCAGGGATTTTTTTTGCACCTCTTGGAATGCCCTGTGCAAAACTGCAGGCCTGCACAGCGCCTTGCCGCCCAAGCGCAGCGCGATGCGGTTGCTCGCAAAACTGCCCGTTGGATCCTTGCCAAACTGTAGCATGGCTTGCAGCTTGCCCCGCACAGCGCACCACTTCCCGATATAGCCTGAACGTGCAATGTTGCATGGACGTAACATGGCGACGCACCACTTCCTATATAGTTCTTCTACAACCTATGCCATTGTCCTCATCTCACACAGCTGGTCGGCACGTTTCCTTACCACTCCCCTCTCCCACCAATTCTAGAACTTTCAACAACTGGACATGTCCAATTCACTCAAAGAATGGCATCTCCCAACTGGCAGCCCGACCTGCGCAACAGCCATCTGTCCTTGTTCTTGGTTGCGGTGCCCACCGGTTGTTAGGCGCCACCATCAACTTGTCGATGGCTAGTGAAACTCCCCCGCTCAACCACTGGCGCACCTTCTGGCGGGCGCACTCTTGCCTGTCCTGCGAGCGATCTAAGATCCAGTTGGGGACTTCCGCCTGCCCCTGGTCATGGGCTCACGAAATCTGGGCGACCATTGGTCCATTGGCAGTGGTGTCCACGCACAGCTGCTTGGCCTCTAGTCGCTGCACTATCCGTGGCCTCAATCAGCGATGGCTGGTCCCTGACGATCTCCTGTGCAGAGTCGCTTGTACTATACCTGAAACGCTCAGTGGGGAGGTACTCAAGGTCCCTTTTCCTCTCCGGCAACAGCTCAATTACGCGCTGCTTCACAGCGGGGGGAAGGGATCTCTGAGGTGATGGTTCCCGCCCATGACGTCTTTGGGTGGCCTTGGAACCATCGACCCTCCCCCCTACCTGGACCTCCGCTGTCAAATTCGCAGAGCCAACTCGTGGCCATGCTCGTCAGCGTTATTACAATTTCGGCCTCAACGGCGCTGAGGGCGTCACTGTAACCTGGTGGCAATAAATTGAAAACTAAACTGGTTTGTCTTATAAATGCGGTCTTTTGCGTGCAACACGAGTGCACAAGCGCTGGCGGACCTGCCGCCGACAATGCCATGAGGTTTCCATTTCGCGCAGCATCGATGTGCATTCGCATTTGTGCAAGTGCTGCCGGCAACTCTTTGCGACTTCTGCGACATTCTAAGACTTCCATTTCCCCTAAACAAGATTTCAAACCAAATCCTGCATGATAGCGCTACGCCGTAGAAAAAGAGTGGCGCTTTGCACCCTACAATGTGGATGTTTTGCTGTTCCTTAAATCGTATTGAAGGTGTATCGCACTATCAGGTAGTGTTGCTAAGTCACCCATGCATCCAATAAAGACTTTGACGCTAAGGGGCGGGGCGTGTGCGTATGTCCGATCTTAGCGCCCATTTGACGCCAAGCGCAAAAAATCCAAAACAAAATTTTACTAAGTTTGAGAAAGAATTTGGGCGGCACCTGCAACATTACCAGGGACGCTGCCAATGCTATGTTCGCGATTCTAGGCTTGAAGGACAAAGCATTGGCCCATTTGAATACCAGTACTTCCACCATTTGTTTTGGCCGTGCGACTGTAGTCCATCAGACCCTCCCATTTCGCATTCGGCATGGAGCATCGGAAATTCGTGTTTTCCCCCACTTGTCACCTGTTGTCAGACGATATTAATTTCAATGAACAAGATGTCCACATCCCGCCAATGCGAAATTAATTAATTAATTAATTAATCAATTAATTAATTAATTAATCATGCTAACTATATGATACTTCAACGAATTTAATTGATCAATTGAGCCCATTGGCGGTCCAGAACAGGTGCGCGACTCGCGACTGGAGTTGTGCGCTTTCGTTCGACAGTCAGATTCTGGCGACAGGGCAGCAAGAAATATCACGTTCTTTCGGTCGCCCTCAAAAAATATCAGCTACTGAATCATCGAAATTATCGCGCAAAAACGGAAGGGACAGCTTCAATCGCTTGCTCGCTAGCACTGACAGCGTGCACCGATGCGCTCCACACGTACGGGTGAGATTCGAAACGCTGTCATTACGATATCCAATATGACCTGCATGTTTCGATTTTGAGCGAGCCGTTGTTCTCCAGCTCCCCGCTTCCTCGCGGACTGCTCCCGAACAAGCTACCGACATGATTGTATTACTTGCCCGAAACGGGAATGCGGTGAATCGTTAAGGCGCTTGACTGTGACCCGACACTACCCGACGGTGGCGACGCATCGACTGGCCATGCTGCCACAAATAGCAACGGCACCCGCACGTCCAAAATGCCCCTGAACAAATAGCACGCCGTCGCCACCAGCTGCCCGAAAAAAATGACCTCAAAAAAAATCGCCCCAAAGCTAAATCCCTATCCCTAAGCGCGTGTGTCCTGGGGTTGGAACATAGGCACTCCCCGCGCCAACGACACCGCAGGCAACCCGGTCACCAGCGCCATCTCTTCCGGCCCTCGCCACTCCCCCCGCCGTACGTTGTTCCACAGAACGGTGCGTGTCTCTTGGCACAGCGCGCAACGGCTGCAGAACAGCCACAGGCACGCCGCCTCCACCACGGGCTGCCTGGCAGCATCGCAACAAACAACAGCCGCCATCCATTTCGTCATGGCATGACATCGATTTTGATCCATGACGTCACGGCCATTTTGGCAAATGCCAAAATCTGAGCGCATGCGCAGCCGGCCCCAAGCCCCCGCTGCGGCCACCGCCATTGCAGAGGCGGCCAGGAAGGCGTAGAAAATTCCGTCGTGGTGGACCCCTTCGTTGTGGTGGGCGATGTGCTGGCATCCCTTGGACCGGGCGTCTCTGAGCTGGACGTAGCGCACGCACAGCGGCAGGGCAACCAGCCAGGCGATGAAGGCGGCCCACACGACGGCCTTGCAGGTGTCGCCGAAGACCCTGTGCCTAACAAACCTGCACATGGATATGCCGCACGTGGCAGGTGAACAAACACTAGGAAAAAAGGGCCAAATAACACGCGTTCAATCTTGTACAATGTTTACGGGCTGGGGTAATTTCGAGCTCTTAGCGTGCAGAACATTGATAAATGCGTTTTGTATTTGTACGCAAAAAGCGTTATTCGGTCCCTTTTTTTGCTAGTGACAGCGTCGTCATCTGGCGACCATATTGGTATCGCATGCGCCTCAGATTCCGTCTTCTTAATGCTGTAATGAGTATGTGATGCCGTAGGCAACAAATTGCCGAAAGCGCCGAGCATAACTGTTGGCGTTTAGATTGCTGTGCCCAGCATTTGCATCCAAAACCACTGCGTCGTCAAATTGGCTCCCAGATTTCAGAACTTTGCTTCGGAACCCCAGCGCGCAATCGCCAGAAATCGTATCGATACGAGAGGTATCTCTGTTTATTCCACAATGAGGGTAGAGCTTTCAAAAAGAAAAGTAGGCGGCATCGTCAAGACTCTTGCGATGGCCTCTGGGTCGCCGCCAGTCACGTCCATGAGCCTCTCGTGCGACCGGTGCGATGTGCCGATTCGCAACATCCCGGCGACACAAGCCTCCATAACCCAAAGTCACTGGTTGCCGCCACAGTAGGTTCTGCTTGCGTTCGTTCACAGGGCAACATCAACAACGTGACGCCCTTCGATACATGTACACAGCTAGCCGGTGTCCCTATTCGGGTATCGTTGCCTAATCGCCTGCCTTACGCCATTTCAGTACAAGCGGATGGTGTGACATCTTCATGGGGATGGGACACCCCTCCCCTGTACAGCACTGTCGTAAGGCAGGACAACATGATCATATCCGACTGGGCCAGGGCGCTCCCTCTCACCCACAGTGCCCCCCAAACGGCGCGGCGTAGAGGGATCCAGCAGAGTGTTGTCGTACACCGCCCTCGTGGCCCTGGGCCGACGAGCTGCAGGGCGAACGGGAGAGAAGACAGCGGACGATCGCTGGGACTCGAACTCAGACCGCTCGCTGCTTCACACACGACGGTGGTCGCGGGTCCCGGATGCTGGCTGGCAAATACTGCCTCTCGAGCGCCGGTGTATGGGCCCGGTGTACGAGCAGTGCGAACCCTCCTGGAATCCGCGCCACCCGCGGCGGCGTTCCCGTGGGCGGGCGCCTTGGGCCACCTCCATGGCCGGGCAATTGGGGCACCCGTACGAACGCAACCGAACTGGCTGGACGCGCGGCCTGACCGGTTGGCCCCATGCGCCCCCAAGACGGCCACGATTCGCTGCCCGCGACAAAATCCCAGCTGGACGCAATCGCTGTCGCCTGCCCCGGGCTCGCCGGACCGCCCTTGCGCGGACGCCAGCTGGCGAATCGTCACACGGCCTGGCGGGCTGGCGGACCAATCCCTGCTAAATGTGGAGATGAAAGCGGCGCTGATGTGCGCCGCTGATGTGCTAGGGTTCGAAATTTTCCCGCGCTGTGCTGCGCAGCACCCACCCGAAGACGCAGGGGAAGCACCAGCACGTCGCGCAGCAGACGCCCCAGTCCGCGGCGCCGCAGTCCCCGCAGCACTGGTGCCAGCCGCCCCGCCACCGCCGAGGGTCGGCCGCCGCCCGTTGCGGGTGCCACACCTCAATGGTGCCTGAATTCGGCAGGTCGACAGACTCGCATGGATCCATGAGATTGAGGTGGTGGCCGGGGCACCGCGCCCCACTGTCCTGGGAAGGGGCCAGTCCGGGGGGCAGCGACTTTGCCGAATGGCCCAGCCGCACGCGCGGGCCGGGGACGGATCCATTCGCGTGAGCGCAATCCATTGCAGAAATTTCTGTCCCGCTGGTTATCGGCCAGATGCGATCTGTAGTGCGCGAGTGTCCTGCGTGGAGGGGGATGGGGTGTCTGTTTGTGGCGTCAGATGTCGTCAACGTGCTGTGGGGCGCTCACATTGGCACACGCTTATGTAACTGCTGATCGCAAGATGTACCAACACTTCCTGAATGCAACTTCTTCGCAATGCGCCAGCCATAACGCCCTAATGGTGCTGAGGCAGTACACATAGTTGGGCAGATCAAAAGACGTGTGTGACTGGGGGTTGGGGGGCGGGGGAGGCTTCGAAATCAGTGCATTCAGTTCCAAAATGGTGACGAAAACCACCGGAGTCCTCAGAATGTCTTGCTAGGATGGATCCCGACGACCCCGGTCGTTTTGTAATTTTTTGTATTCAGTACCTTGCTGATCGATAATGGTCTTCATACCAGGCATTTCAAATTGAATAACAGGGAGGAGAGAATCTAACTTCAGGGCTTTGGGAGTACAATTAAAAAAGGCTGTTGGAAAAGGGAGCTATGCCGAGAGATTAGGACATTTCATTGTGCTGTCTCATGTACCGAATGTTCACTATCAACATCAATGTAGCTTGCATCCATATCGAAACGCAAAAGATGTGATCAGTCTGTATTCTGGATATGCCGCATTCATCCACTGGATGAATATAGTAATATTCCAATATCCAGGATATGCGACTTTTGCTGGAGTCCTTGTGTGTAATGCTCCATTGGAATTCATCTGTGGGCAAAACCATCCACTCGCTCCAGTCAGCTCTCCCCAGCCACGGCATGGAGTTTTATTGAGTCAAAAGCAAGTTAAAGGGCAGGACGGGAATGGGCAGCAGGCTCTAGAGGCCCAGCCTCGGGGGACGTTGCCAGATTTTCCTGGCGACGGGGCAGGGCGACGTCGCCACCCGGGGGAGATTGCGTCGCCACAGGGAGGGCGGTTTCCGTCGCCAGTGTCGCCGGGGCCCGCGTCGCCGTTCGTCGCCAGAATCCGTCGCCGGCTGGCCGACAGAATTCGTCGCTGGCGTCGCACGTCACCACAGGGGCATGGGCCCCAAGGGCCCCGGGAGCGGGGTTATCCTGTTGCGACGCCGCGTCGCCGGTGTCGCACATACCCATGGGGAGTAATGGGCCTCAAGGGCCCCGGGAGGGTGGGTGGGGTACCCTTCGGCGACGCCGGTCGCCGGTGTCGCCACGGGGGTCACGAGCCCCAGGGGGCTCGGGAGAGGGGGGTAACCTGTGGCGAGGTAGTATGTCCATAGTAGGCAAACGTCGCAAATAAAACCCCTCCCACCGAACTAACTTTTCACTAGCATTGATTGTGAATTGTATCTTCCTCAACTTGCTGTTGTGCAGTTTTGAAACAGCGGCACCACTGCCTTTCACGAAAGCGAAGTAGTTTGCAGAACTATTGCTGCATATGCGCAATTGCAGTGCAACTGTCACAGACATGTTTCGTATTAACACAGTTGCACATCTTCACAAAACGTAGCACACTTTCCTGCTTAACAGCCGTTGGTATGGTCGCCATTGCTGTTCCACTGCTGCCGTCTTCGGTTTTAACTCTCACTTCAAATATTCGAATTGTGATACACACAGGCACACATAGGAATTCGCGGACATGGGTGGACGACGCCACTGCCGTCGTTAATTCCTGTACATAGACAAATGACACTGGCGCCATCCTCTAACTCTCAGACAGCAAACAAATCCATCCCAAAACGCGTATAATGACTGCCGAGGACGAAGAGCAAAATCCGGGCGATGGCAATTGATGGAAGATCGATCCGTCCGGAAATTAAAGGACTGACACGGGTAGATGAAGCTTTATGCAATGTTAATTCGAGGGCCGTTCATCTATCCACGAGTTGTGGAAATCCCTCTTTGGGCGCGAGCGCCCGCTGAGATGTTGGCAGCTGCTGGTCCCATGTGTTGACACTCCTTTCTTCCACATCACCTATTATTTGGTCAACAAACTGTCGGCATGGAATTCTGTGCAATGCTTGCGCGCCCAGGACAGTTTCACACCATTGGAAGCGACAGCAGTATCAGTCCAGCTGCATCTTGTCTAACTGTCGGTGCAAAGTGGAACGGGTGTAAGCCACTACTACGAGGTGCGTTAGCTGCACACCCTCATGTATCGCTTATCCATAACCTGCATTGAGACAAATGTAAACGCAGTACAATCGGTGCCCCTGCCAATTTGCTTTTCAACTATTCTTATGCTTTTCAACTATTTACTACTGCTTCATCTATTGCGGCCTCTTGAATTCTGTGTGCTGTTGCCTTTCCGCTCCTCCACGAAACTATGCTGTACAGTGAATTGCATCGCAGCCGTGGCCAGTTACTTATTCCAGGTCCGAGTGTATGTCGACCTCGCTCGTGTATTCCAAGCATATTGTTTTGGAGCAACATTCACAAAGTGTTTGACACTTTTAATGCCGTCGGCTTAAGATCTATACCTGTCCTGAAATTCCAAATTGCAGCCTTCTTCAAGACTTGTTGCATATAAAACTGTGAAAGAATCTTGTTCATTGCGCAGAAACACGAAATCAAAATCGAAAAAGCTGCATTGCGAGCTGTCATAAAATTCAAAAGATATGCGCCAATGCGGGGGTTCAACTATTTAGAGATGGCACATGAAAAACGACGTAAGACATGGTTGCTGTGCTTTATACACAAGCAAGATAATATTTTCAAACATCCTCAGCCCGTCCCTGTCCAGAGATATTCTTTTGATGCCAGAGGAGAGCAGCGCATGCCCGGTGCTGTAAGGATGACAACACTGCAATATGGCATGTCTTTTGTTCACGATGATTGCTTGTGGGGCTCACTATCGCCGTTTGGATTCTCACATGCGTGTGGGATCCATATGAGATCCCATATGGGACGGGTGTATCTTTAACACAGTCCCAAAACAATGAACAAAACATGCTCATGCAAAGGCAGAATCAAAGCAACAGAATCATTCCGTTCAGGACAAGTGATGCAAGCATGTAACATAGAATGTCAAGCGTCTCATCACTTTTTCAAGACAGTGTTCATTCATAAAAATGCAGTGCGAAATTGCGTGTGCATAATTCTGACGATGGAACTGATTACGAAGATAGCGCGTTCATTTCACAGCAGCACGGAGACATGAGATCGTGGACACTAAGAAAAGGTATAGCCGTGCAT